AACAACATCTTTTAAGCTTCCCAACTCCTCACTTCAAGTCCAATTTCCAGAGAGGCTGATCATCCAACTTAAATGAAAAGTCCAATCCTGAATCAACTAACTGTAGCTATGACAATTATACAGAAAGAAAATGACTGGTCCTGCTACAACCACGCGAACAGTTCCCAAAATATGAAGGAAATGGAGGGTGGGGACAAAACAATAGGTGTACACTTGGGGTGCGTCTTCTCCGAGTGTGCAAGCACAACATGTGTGTTCTGACCACGTCCGTCTCCTTGACCAAACCAGGCTCCTCTGAGCTCTCCTCCTGACCAGACCTCAACCTTAGCCTTCCACATCCATTCTGCCTTGTGACGGCAGCACAACTTAGGCTTAGCAAGACTCACCACCCTTGATATCTGAGGTTCTTCATTTCCCCCACCTTTGGTGTAAAGTCCTTTTGTTACCCAGGAACTGGGTTTGCCTCTTGCTGGGTTTCACAGCCAAAAGATACAAACAAGCCAAAGACTGCGAGAAGGAAGGATTTATTATTACTTGCAGCAAGTAAGTAAAACACCGGGGATCTTTCCCAAAGCAGCGTCTCCCTGAACAACAAAACTTGGTAAGTTTTAAGCTAAGGGGACATGCATATTCACAAAGGTGTGTAAACAAAGAATACAGCACAGAATCGGGGCAACAATTGACAGAGTCCAGGCTGTAGTTGGTAGGAGTCATGAGGATCAGAAAAAATCATCATCATCCCTTGTGTGTATCCTGTTTTCAGTCGTGTCCAACTCTTTGAGACCCCATGGACTGCAGCCCACCAGGCTCCTCTGTCCACGGACTTTTCCAGGCAAAAAATATTGGAGTGGGTGGCCATTTCCTACTCCAGGGGATCTTCTCATCCCAGGGAGCAAACGTGCTTCTTCTGCGTCTCCTGCATTGGCAGGCAGATTCTTTACCACCGCGCCACCTGGGAAGCCCATCATCTCTTAGGTTCCAGTTACTCTGATGGTTGAGGACTCCTGTGGAGTTGAATTCTGCAAAACAACTCAAGAATGTGCTTTGGATTAATCTGGACTTTTGAAACAGAACTGGGAGTCCTTACAACTGACATGTTGTCTTTGATGAAGTTAGGTTATCTCCTTGTCCTGGCAGTTACTAGTTCTTACCTCCTTCTGTTCCTTTAATATCGTTAGCTACTGAGACCTATCCCTCTGAAAGGGCACGCACTGTGGCCAGGCTTAGACCACAAAATAGCTCGGGCCTAAAACAGCTTCTGTTACTAAAGTTCTGTCTGGTTCTTTCTCTGGGGGCCGCAACCCTGTCTGCCTACACTTGGCCTGTTTATCTTGAGAAAGAATCTCTCTACCTGAGGTTTCCTCTTTTAATTTTCCATCTACTGGATCCCCTCCCTCTGCTTTCTTGTTGTTCAGTCACTCAGTCATGTCTAACTCTTTGAAACCCCATGGATCGCAGCATGCCAGGATACCCTGTCCTTCACTGTCTCCCAGAGCTTGCTCAAACTCATGTCCAATCAGTCAGTCATACCATCCAACCATCTCACCTCTCTGCTTGTTGGCTGTCAATCCCCACTTATCCTTGTATTGAGTTGATTTCTCCGCCCTCACTGCCCCAAGTCCCGCCACCTCCCCGCCCCGTCCCGCACAGTGAACATGCTGAGTCCTAACCACTAGACCACCAGGAAATTCCTAAGTCTTACTGTTTTAACAGGCACCAGAATTAATTTTTTTTTTAAGAGTTCATACATGCAGGATTTGGATCACACTGAACAATCTTTTTCATTTAACAACACACTGAAACACACTCAATGAAACATCCTTCCAACCACACTGTTTTATTAACTACTTATCATTTCTAAGATGCCACAAGTAAAAATGTAGCCTCAAGGTCAAGATAAAGCCTCTTTTTAAGATCTCAAAGATTTAAGGAAGTGCCAAATCCTCTGGCTAAACAGAAGATTTCTAAGACTCTTAAGTGTCTCCTAATCTCAGTTAGTTAGATAAGAGGGCTTCTGCCAAAATATGAGTATTGTCACATAGCATGCTCCAATGCAGGAGGCCCAGCTTTGATCCTTGGTCCAGCAACTAAGAGTTGCATGCCATGACTAAAGATTCTGAGCGCTGCAGTGAAGACCCTTCAGAGCAAAGGTAAAAAAAAAAAGAAAGAAAGCAAGCAAGCTGTAGAGGCTTTCAGCAAGGAAGAAGGCAAAAAACTTGGGTTTTCCTGTTTGTATCTTTTAGAAGCAGAACAGACTCTGTGAAACTTGAGAGAGGTTGAATTAACATTTGAAGACATTTTTGGAAGATGGTACGTGGCAGACTTCATTTATAAATATATTCAACAGAAAGAAGAAGAAAAAAAACCCATAGTTTTCAATTTTTAATTTTATTAAAGTACAGAGTTAACAAGTTTTGAGTTTTCTACCTAGGAAAAGACTGGTCAACTTCGGCTGCTTCATAGAAAAATTAGCACTCAAAAAAACCCCAATTATAAATCCATAGGTGCCTTTGTGACTTAAAACAAAAAAATAACTAGTTTTAAAAGTTACCAAAACTCAAACATATCTGAGACCATTATAAATTTCAAACAGTAGATTACCACACATACTACATTTTAAAATTCTAACAGCAAAACATAACCACATAATTTGGCTGTATCTAACTATTTCAGACAAGTTTTGTTTTAAAAAGTAACAAAGTTATGATTATAAAACTTCTGTAGTTTTTTTTTTCAAAGTAAAATAACCTTAAATCTTTAATAAAGGAAAAAAAAAACAATCCTTAAATTTCTTATAAATAGCTCTCAAGACATATATTACCCATCTGCTGCAAGCTTTCTTTACCTGAGAGAATTTCCCAGGATCCTTCACCACAAAGGATTACCTTAAAGAGTTCTTTCCAACATTTTACTCACATAAACATGATTAACACCTACGGAAGTGGATGTGGACATGTGCATTCTTAATCCACCATTCCCCAAGTTAAGTTTTTGCTGAAAGGATTTTGCTTTTAAAAAAAGAAAACCTCTTTGGTAAAAGCCAAATACTTCATCCTCTCAAAATGAACACTTCTGTAAATGATTTACTGAGGAAGGGAGAAAAGAGAGAGACAGAGGAATCTTTAGAATGGTTAGCATTAATTAAAAAGATCTGTATCCTGCTAAGCAAGTATATTAGAGAGCACATCTCTGCCTAAAATACAAAACTGGATTAAAATGTCTGAGGCTTTACAAATATATTAAGGATGGCAGGAAACACAGTTAAGAATGAAGCCAGAGGGATTTAGTAAATCAAGGAGAATACCCGATAGAGAACGTCGTGAACCCAGGGGTATCGACACCGACCTCAATGAAGGAGAGCCCAGGGTGCTCTCTGGACATGTGGATCTTGGCCCAAGATCACATCCTTCTTAGTTATATCTAAAACCCCCTTTAATTTTCAAGAGGGGTAGTACGCCGAAACGAGATGCTCTTTAGAAAGGCAATCAAAGGAGAAAAAGACCTAGGCAGCTTAAATGCATACAGGCTCTGGAATTCCCATTGCAGGGTAACAGGAAGCACCAATGGTAGTAAACTTCTGGCCAAAATTATTATAAATAAGCAAATAATCTTAAAAAGGCAGAAGGAGACAATGTGGGGGGAATTAGCACTGCACAGAGGTCAACCATAGTGAAGGCATCTCTGAGCAACTGGAAATAAACAAAGGGGTGTGGGAGCACCCTTGCTGGCCACCAGAATCCCAAAGCCCCAGTATCTTCCATCAGCCCGCATGCACACAGCCCATCTACTCTACAAAGGAGCTCCAAAGACTTCTGGCAAACAATTCTTTCAAGCCATTTCCCAAGAAATTGTGAGGACAAAAACAAAACTAACTAACCAGTATTAAAAACAAAAAAGAAAAAACAAAAATCAACCCAGTAAGGACCAAGTAGGGTTTCCGAAAGCCTTTGGTGAGAGAGTCTCTGGTCTTCAATCAGGTGACACATCTAGACATAAACAGCCACATTCCCAAAAGAATCCCTTCCTCTATTTATGTGTATTTACTCGTGAAAATGAGAAGTGAAAAAATTTCCACATCGGATGAACAGCACTGAGGAAGCTTACACATAGTTTTAAAAAATCTTCAGCTCTCATTGCTAAAGGAATCTGACCAGCAGCTTCTGAGAATGCACTTTTAAAATCATGTATAAAAAGTTGTAGGAAGCAAAGTCTATTGTTCTGAAAACATTACCAGTGAATTTATCAAATGAACATCATCCTTAACAGCTACGCAAAGCAATTGGCACTGTGTTTCCAGTTTCGTAAAACATAATAGCACAGAAACATAAACTCTTTAAAGCCATGGATGTTGACTTACCACCTGAGGATTATTTTCTACAATTATAATCATTAAAGTCAACATCTTATTTATACACCCTTAGTCCTCAAAGAACATCCACATCGCTCTTGATCTTTCGGATAAAACTGCTTAAATGTTCAACTGAGAATAAAAGAGTGACTGTAACTCTTCTTGTGTCAGACCGACCTTCAGAAAGGAACATTATCAGGCACGAACCAAGTCTGAAGCAGCTGGAAAGTGTGGGTTGGCTGCGGGGGAGGGGGGCTAAGGAAGGAAGCCTGGCCACTGGCGATGTCCTTTCCTCTGTGTCTCCCTGAGCTTTTTTCTGCACAGGAAGGGCCAGCTCAAAGCCACAGAGTTGGATGCTAGACCCTAGCAGGAAGAAAACCCAACAAAACCAGCCACTGACAGCACACCAGCTCTTGACCTGCCTGTCCTCTTGATCTTTGTAAAGCCATCTCGCTTACCCGAGCCTGTCACTGCGCCAGCCACTGCAGGGGCCCCCGCCAGGGCGCTGAGCCACACAGCCCACTGCCGCCACCTGTCTGACCATGGAGCTCCCACCCCACAGGCGTCACTGTGGGCCACGCGTGGCAACCACGCCTTTTGTGCCCACGGAAGATCGCTGGACCGAGTATGAAGAGTTCCTGATCTTGGGGGGGGGGGGGGAAGAAAGAACTTGATCGAGTGTACAAAACAAGGCTCTCTCACACACACACGAGTGCCTTTAAAAAGTGAATCTCCAAGACTGTAACTAAGGCAAGTTTCTGGAGGAATTCATCCACTGGATGTCCCTTGCCTCCACCCAGCTCCCCCATTTTCTTGAGAGGAGGGAGAAGGAGTGAGTGGAAATGAAGGGTGGGACTAATTTCCCAGGTCAGCATTTGGCACTCCGGAGCCCAGCTTATGGGGGACCCAACGCACACAGCAGGGCACGGAAGGTAAAGGCCGAATCTTTTCATTCTGACTCTCTGCCCAGGTGCCAGGAGGACTCTTTCCATCCTGCATAAAATACTAAGAGGCGGGCCCCCACTGTGTCTCCACCGGGGTCTCCGGTGGACTTTCCACTGTGTAAACTCCTCCCTGGACGAGAGTATCAACACTGAAAACGGAAATCTTCTTACGCAGCTGCCTAGACTCAATCTCTCTTAAGTGTCACCTTAGGAGTATGAACTTTGGAAATTTCTGTGGCTTTTGCTCATGGCTTAATTAAAGAACTCCCCACCCCACCCACCGTTTCCTCTAAGTATATCTGGTCACTTCTACAACTTGTATAATTGGAGGACTTACCTGGTCAGCCCTGTTTGAGGTGCTGCCTATGATTCTCACCTCAGCAAATCTACCCCCAAAATCATAAGGGACATTAATGGTGTGGTCACATTACAGATCCGGAAAACAAAAGCCCTTTTGCTTTCACAGTTTCAAAGGCCTCGAGTGGAAGAGAAACTGGTTGACCTCAGTAATGAAAAGAGGGGCACAGCAGGCTTCAGTCAAGAAGCAACTTTCCAGGTTAGGTCCTAAAGTGTCATGACTATCAATCCACAAACAAGAACTACAGCAAAGAAAACAACACGAACATTGTTCTATCATCACGTGAACAACACCATGAGTAAGGGTCGAATTACTCCATCACCGCCTGACCTGAGTTACAAAACGAGTTACTAAGGCCGTGACTCAGATCAGGCGGTGACAGTCTGGAGGGGGAATCACATGGGCGGTGATGGCAAATTGTGCTTTTTCACATTATAAGGAAGATGCTGAACCCGAAGGGATGAGGGGACCTCTGGGAAGGGCAGAGCGAAGCCTGTGATTCCCAGCATCACAACTTCAAAGGGAAACGTGTCGGGGCTGGGAGGAGACTGCACAGGGGTGGAGTGAAAAGCCGATGCTTCCTCTTGGAGCCAATAAATACCCAGGGACCGTGAGCAGGAGTTCTGCAGGCTGAGCTGTGGAGCCTTCTGAGGGGTCTGCCTTCTGTTGGAGGCGAAGGGCTCCAGATTTTGTCATGTCTATTTCAGGGATAGGTAATAGGCCACACAAAGTAAGCTTTTATCCCTGTGGTAAGATGTCATTCCCCAAACTCTGTTTTGGTAAAAAACACGTAGAAGGAAAATACTAGCCTGACCACTGTCCCAATATTTAGGGGTAAAACACATAGAAAATCTATAAACACTCAGCATCAATTTAGGTGAAATTTTGAATTCTTTGGGGGCAAACTGGTAGCTTCTTTTTGAATTTCAGAATTAAAAAAACCAAATCAAGTGATTTTTCTTCCCCCCCCCGAAGGGTTTTCAGACCCACTGAAGCCAGCCAGGGGAATGCCAACTTGTCACAAAGTACCAGTCACTGCCTGACTCCTGGGATATTTGTTCAAGGGCATCACTTCCCGCTGCAGAACCAAGGAGATTGCTCATATCCTCACACGGAGTACTGCGGAGAGGGTCGACAGAGTGGGGCGACCAGCGTACCCAGGTACAGGAGAACACATATCCAGCAGGAAGCCATCTTAACCCAAAAGATGGACCAGCTCCCGCTGAAGAAGGTCTCGATGTTGGCACTTTCGTAGCTGTAGAAACAAGAGACCCAGCTGTGGTCAGAGCAGGAAGAGGACAGGAGGTGAAAAGGTCTCTTCCCACCAAGAGTGTCCCTCCCTGCTCCCACCCCGCAGCCCCCACCAGCCTTTCTTTTTTCCCTAGCAACTCAATTCAGATATTAATATAATTCACACCCACTTAAAGTACACGATTTTTATTATATTCATAGACGTGGGGGACCACCACCACAGTCAATTCTAGAACATGCTCATCACCCCAGAAAGAAACCCTGTGCCCTTCAGCTGCCCTCCCATTTCCTCCTCCATGTGGCCCCTGGCATGACTTAATTACTTTCTATCTGTATGGCTTTGCCCGTTCTGCACATGTCACGAGGCATGGAATCGAGCGGCCTCCTGTGACTGGCTTTTCTCAGCATATTTCTTTTGGGGTGTGTCCATGCTGTAGTATGTAACAGTACTTTATTCCTTTCTGTCGTGGAGGAATATTCCATTGTGTGGATATAGCACCTTTTGTTTATCCATTTGTCAGCTGATGGGCATTTGGTTGCTTCCACTTAGCTATTATGAACAATGCTGCCATGAACATTTGTGTATAAGCTTCTGCACGGACGTGTTTTTTCCTCCTCTTGACTATATAATTAGGAGTACAATTGCAGGATCACATAACAACTCTGTGTTCAACACTTTGAGGAACTATTTTCCAAAGTGCCTGCACCATTCTTACCTACCAGGAGTGAGAGAGGGCTCCAGTTTTAACACATCCTTGATATCTGTTATTTTCTGCCTCCAACCTTTCTTAAGCTTCCCAAGCCAAAATGTTCCAGGAATTCCCAAGTATCTCTGGGAAGCACGAGAGGCTCCAGTGCCCTCTTCTCCCTCAGGATGTCTGGGAAGATCTCCTCAGGGAAGCCTTCCCCGTCCCTCTGTTCGCAACCTCTGCCCCACCATCCCCGCCCCACTCCTTGTTCTTCATCCTCATTTTTCTCTCCAGTAGTCGTCAATGTCTGACATACTATGTGGACCACTATCCTCCTCCCCCATTAGAATACAGGCCCCGCCACCCACAGCAGTGCGGCCCGGAGAAGCCACTCATATGTTTGTTGCACAATGAGTCTAAATAAATTCTCCAGGCCAGAATACTGGAGTGGGTAGCCTTTCCCTTCTTCAGGGGGTCTTTCCAACCCAGGGATCAAACCCAGGTCTCCCGCATTGCAGGCGGATTCTTTACCAGCTGAGCCACAAGGGAAGCCCAATAATACCGGAGTGGGTAGCCTATCCCTTCTCCAGTGATCTTCCCAACCCAGGAATCGAACTGGGGCCTCCTGCATTGCAGGCAGATTCTTTACCAACTGAGCTATCAGGGAAGCCCAAATATATCCTAAGTTATTCTAATGTCTACCTTAGGTATATCCTAATGTACACCAAATTACGATCCAACAGAAACTCTGGATCAAAGAAAGATACAAAAGGAATCAAAAAGAATCTTCACGTAGTAACAGGAAAGTCAGACACATTATGTATGTTTAAAAAAAAAAAAAACCCAACCCTCAAGGGAGAAAATATGTGTAATCATATTTATGTTTTAAACAATTATATAGGCTTATAAATGCACAGAAAAGAAATAAAAGGAAATACATCATATGATTAGCAGTGGTTATGGAGTTGGGGTGGAGGGCCCATGCTACTTTTCATACTTACATATTAGTTGTTTTTGTTTTTTTTTTTTGAGATGTTTCAAACTTTTGTAATGAAAGTAAAAAAAAAAAAAAAGACAAAGTAGAAAAAAAGAGTAATTCTAAACTCCTCCATTACTGTTACTATGTCCTATAGACTGCCCATATGCTATTAACCTCCTATTTTCTTAAGGCTGCAGTAAGCATCACCAATTTCCAGGGTTCAAAGTATGCCAAAAGACTGTCAGGAACTCGGACTGTTTCTGGGAAGACGAGTGCAGCAGGTCTTGGAGAAGAGGTTAACTGACTTCGAGAGATCTGATTTCCAGGCTGTCAAGAAGAGGATGTTTTTAAAAAACAACTTCTAAAACATCTAAGATGAGGGACCACTCACTTGAACCAGTTGGTGACGGTCATCATCACATAGAGGGAAGCCAAGAAGAACATGAAGTGGAAATAGGCATAGCTGTAGACGGTGCTTTTCTTCTCATCATAAATGACCCGTGGGCCCTCTTTCATATTTCGCTTCTCTTCAGCGTCTGTGAATCACAAAGTGAGCACAAGCTCCATGAGTGAACACAAGAATGCTTACCACTTTCGCAGAGCCAAACTTGCTAATTTCCAACCCAGAGGCTGTTGAGAAGGAAAACTGTCAAACACCAATTGTACAGGCAATCTCATCTATGCCATAAGCCCCAAGCTCCCACCTCACCCCAGAACCTTCTGTAATAGGATGAGTTACCTACTGGTGCATTTATTTTAACCGAAGAGAGCTCTTAAACACAGAAAACTTATTATAAACTCAGAAGAAAGGAACAGCAGAGCAAGAGTTCCCAAGCCCCTGGAATGCTCCAATTCAAGAGTAAGCTGGATGAAAGAAATTTTCCAAATTTGCATTCCTTTAAAAAAATATAACTTCTTGCTCCTCAAAAATGTACTGTGTAATTTAACTTATAAATACGAGCCAAAAATATCAACTTTTCCTCATCTGCCAGAACGCCAACACGAATCCCAAAGGCCCTTTGGGAACAATGTGTAAAGTATATAAACAAAAAACCAGCTCTGGAATAAAGGAATTCCTCTTACCACTCAAGTTATTTGTGCCTAAATCCCAAACGCCTACAGACGAATGGTACAGGTCTGCAGGGCATCACGGAGGCCCAGATGGAATGTTGTCCACTTACCCTCTCCCCCAGAGCCGAAGCAAAAGCAACACCGGGCTACCTGTGAGGGCAAAACCAACCAAGTCAGGAGGCTTGCGTTCTGCTTTTCCAGCTCCACATCGGTTAAGAACTAAAGGCCACCTATGTGCCAAATTTTCCCCATCTGAACTACACCCCAAATCCAGAACTGCACACTTCATCCCTTCGAAAGGTTCTACTAAGTGTCTGTTCTTCCCTGATGGTCTGGGGGCTGGTGAGATGGGAAACACGAGGACATGGAGGTGAGCCACCCCAAGCCCCTTCCAGTGGGCCCTCCTAGTGCCTGCTCAACCCCCGCCAGCCTCTGGCCGGCAGCTCCAGGTTCTGCCCTAGCTGGGAGTCGCCCCACGCTCAAGCAAGCCCTTCCTGGGCAACCCACGCAGGATAAGAGCTACTAGCAGGGGTGTCAAGGTGGGGCCACAACCCTGGGGGACAGCTCTGATGGGTCATATCTGCTCCGAGCCCCTGTGGGATGAGCAGAGGCTCTGCCCAGCCTGCAGTGCCCTTCAACTCCCCTTCCCTCCTCCGCATGTGCTGAAAGGTCAAAGTGTTAGTTGCTCCGTCATGTCTGACACCCCATGGACTGTAGCCTGCCAGGCTCCTCTGTCCAGGATTCTCCAGGCAAGAATACTAGAGTGGGTTGCCATTCCCTTCTCCAGAGGATCTTCCTGACCCATGGATTGAACCCGGGTCTCCTGCATTGTAGGCACATTCTTTACAGTCTTCTGAGCCACCCGGGGAAGCCTCCCTAATAAATATCCTGCACATCAGGCTCTGCCCTGGGGCCACTTATGGAAAACTCAGCATGGAGCATGAAGTGAATGAGAGAAGGTCCCCTCCGTCTGGGAGCTCCCTCCTGGCGCTCGGCTCTACTTGCTGCTCCATGCAATCCTCTTTGGCACCAGGGAGTGAGGTCATTATCCTGCTTTCGGGTGAGGGAAACTGGGGTCAGCCAGGTTGAAGACCTGGCCTTAAGTCACTAAACAAGCTTAGTGACAGAGCTGGGCCAGGAACTTGGGTGGGTGGGAACCCCCAGGTCTGTGCTTCACAAGGGGAAACAGACAGCATGTGATAATCTTGATGGTGGAGCCGACAGACTCAGAAAGGGGAAAACTTAAGGGATCTGGAACCAGGAGGTCCACCTACATTCCTACTAGAATCAGGCTCTGAACTGGCTGCCTGAGGGGAGCAGGGGTACCAGGGACGGCAACGCATGGGGTGACTCTTTCCAAACGTCGTACCAGGTTTCTGACCTACTCAAAACAACAAACGTAATTTTTTTAAAATTTGGTTTACGAAAAATTACTACACCGATTCCAGAAAGACTCTGGTAAGCAGAATAAGAAACAACACATACCAGGACAGTCTAGGAAGTGCTGGGTACTCAACGCCTCTTAGCTGGTAATAGTTTTATGATAAAGAACAGAGAGCTGGGGGCAAGGACGTGGGAATCCAAGCCCTTGTCCCATTTATACCCCTCAAAGCCAAGCCCTTTTTCTTTCCTGTGTCAAGGAAACTTGTCATAGAGGCACTGGTCTTGACAGAATCTTGGATCAAGGGATACAGTCTAAGATTCATTAATTCATTCAGTGGGCCCAAGACAAGTTATGCTGGGGTCCCAGTTCTTTTGAAGCTTAAGTTACCACAAGAAATGACTGACTCTCTCTTTCAAAGGTCTATCCTGTGAAATGTGATGCAAGGAGTTGGTGAACCAACTTCCATCCTATGTGCGCTCCCGTTCAGAGGGAAACTCTGGGGCTCTTTCCTCGGAATGAGAAGAAAAACATTCTCTTAAATCTAATGCGGAGACTTGCTGTTCTTTGCACTTTAACTCAGTACACAATAGGGATATTGAAGCCAGAGCGGTGGAGCCTCAGCAGGGGTCACCCAGTCAGCGGTGAGCAGGACCGCCTGCCTTCTAGAGCCATTCTCTTCTGAAGAATAGGCAGCAACCCATTCAGACTCACTACAGTCTGCTCCTTCTTCCGAGTGACAGAAAGAGCCGGGGAACGCTGCTGGCAGACTGACAACCCCTCATAACGGTCCACTATCTCCAGGTCAGGTGGAGGGAGGCCCATCCCCAGAGCAAAGCGCCCGATCTGGACAGACCCCAGGGCCCTTCCTCCAGGCAGGGAAAGGCAGCCAGGGGTCAGAGGTCAGGCAGGGTCAGCAGCAGAGCTGGCAGACAGCATCCGGATCTTGGGCAACCGTGGTTGGGAACACAGCACCGACTCGAGCCAGAGTACATGGTTTACATGCTGGCGAATCCCACGTTTAACGGACTTAACTTTTCTGTTTGTCCCCCACCCTGCTGGAAAATGGAGATAAAAGCCTCCTTGGGTTTCTTTGAAGATGAAATCACAGATGCAGTGGTTAGAACACAGCAAGTCCTAGCCGTCCCTGGAAACGCCTCTTTTTTCCATTCTTGGAGTCAGGGCGGAGTTTCTTTCTGGCTGCTTCCATCTGATTAGACCTTTTGTGACCTCAGTGGATGTTCCACTGAGGGCCTCAGGAGAGGGCTTTTGCATCAGAAAGAAAAAGATTTTCTGCTGACCGTCAGGCCTCTGTTCACCGTTTGCTATTCTTCGCCCCATGAATTGCCCACCTGCTGGAGCTGCAGCAGGGAATAAGCTCACATACAGACGGGGTCCAGGAGGGCACGGACAGGGTGTCCCTCCCCTTCTCCTTCCAACAGCCGCTGTCTGACCTCACAGTTGTGCCATGTATGCAGGACACAGGCAGGTACACACTAGGGGAAGGGACCAGAAGTTAAAACCACCCACATGCATTCTGTTACGACAGAGGAGAAAAGCAGAGAGCAGACTGACAAGCTACCCAGGGCTTTGGTGGGAGCGAGGTGGCTGGATGCCACACCAGAGGCTGAATTTGTTGGAGAAAAACCAACAAATTTTATTTTAATCCTATAGTATATTGAGGACATTTCTTTTTCTGTACAGGTATCGTGTTCCTTCCTGAGTAGAAAAATGGGATCATGGGATGCAGACCATTAAAGATGCAAGTAAATACATAAAAAGCCTTCTTGGGAAATGGGTCTTCCGGGATGAAGCAGGGCCAAGAAAAGGAAATGAACTTACTTCCAGCTCGGGAGCTGTGTACCGGCCCTGCAGAGCATCGGAACTTGATCTTGTCGTGGATGTCAAACTAAGACAAACAGAAAGGTCAGCTGAGTTAACGTGTTACATGGTAACATGTCATATAACAAGTCAAAGGAGGGCAGAACTGCCTGGCCAGGACTCTAAGGAGGCTCACTCTAACCTACAGTTCTGCTTAAATAAAAGTTGTCTATTTTAATATCCCACTTTATTCCAAAACTGGCTGACTAACTCAACAGCCGATGTCTTCTTCCATGGATGGCATTAGATCATTTTATGCAAGCAGAAGCTTAAAAAAAAAAAAAAAGTTGTCTTTTGGTCTTGTTACTTTGGTTTTCACTTTGGTTTTTTGCCTCTCCTCCTTCAAATGCCAACAAACTTTTCAAATTTCACTGTTATCTTTCCCCTCCTTTTGACTAGTCTCACTTAGAAGAGAACTCAAAGGCATGAAAAGCGAAGGTCATCACAATTTTCTGTGATAATCAGCCTTGGACAGACAAGTTTTTCTATTTAGAAATTCAGTATATTGTAGCTATCAATGTCATTAAAAAAAATTCTTCCTGACACTTTCCTCCTGCCTAGAGAGGTAAAATGTTGTAAAATCTGGCTTACAGAGGTACAAAAAGGCATTTATTTTTTCCTGGGGTGGGGATCATTTTAAGCACATTTCTACGTGTAACTATACAGTGTACATGAATAACCCATACAGATTCATTTAGCAAACGCTTACTGAAGGTGTGCCCTGTTCTAAGCACTGGGAACTCAGGGAGACAGAGAACAATCCCTTTCCTCCTGCCACTCCAGGGATAGGGGAGAGGGTGGGACAGTGGGAGCTGTTAGTGCAGAGGCAGGAATTCCAGACTCATTTCAACCAAATAAACCACAAAGGGAACACTGTCTTCTCGACTCATTCTCATCCTCTTCCCCAAGGAGAGAAGAGATCAATGAGATGCAAATAAACAATAAAAAGCTTCCCTCCTAAAAAGGCCCTCTGGGACGCAAGATCATTGTTTCTTCTGTGGTCCACTCAGCCCAACAGCATCACTTTCAATTCTGCTTTGAGCAGATGGATGTTAATAGAGGCCCACTCCACTACCATGTCCTGGCTTGAGCCTGGTCTGAGGAGTGACAGAAATAATTCCATGGCTGTGTGCCCAAGAAACACACATGCCTGGCTCCTGCACTCAAGGTGCTATATTTTGCGCATATGAATTATGAGTTAATACAGTCTGTCGTTTCCATGGGGGCACATGTGACTTAACTTCAGGAAGAGATCAATATCTGGAATTTTCATCTGAAAGATGACGTTTATTCTTTATAAGAGTTTGACTAAATATTCCATTTCCTAACTTCTTGGGAATAAGATGGTTTCAGAAAAGCCAGATTTTGGTCCTGGCACCTCTGTCACTTTACTTTCATCATCGGAGGACACAAAGGGGGGAGCTTTTGTTCTTACTTCTAAAAATACCTATAATCTGTTCATCATATATATGGACTTCTATAAGTAAACGTAACTACAAAATAAGGTCTTTATTCAGTCATAGCCTTTATCCACAAAACGTTCTCCTTAGAATTACTGAGAAAATACTGTTGTGTTTGTTTTTTTTTTTTTTTACAAACTCTTTAAAAGCCTGAGAAATTCTTACTGTCTGCACTCTGGCTATTACTAGCACCATCTGGTCCGCACAAGACAATTCCCGGATTATCCATAACCTCTTCCCTTCCAGGGCTCAGGCCTGAGTGACTTTAACCCTGTGCTTCCTGTGGGGGTGGGAGGAGCCTGACAGTATTTGGTTGGGGCAGAGCTTCACTGGACACAGAAATGTCTAGTAACCTTATCTGATTAATACCCTGAGCCCTCACTCACTCACAGCCAGTAGCATCTTCCCATTGCTGTGCCGATGGAAAAACAAAACTCCCGCTACCCCCAAGCCCTCCCAGCCTCGGTTGAGCCCTGAAGCTCTTGCACACTGGAAGAAAGATTTGTAATGCAGATGCCCCTCCACATCTGCTTCAGTTGCTTTTGGAACTGGCCAAACTCCACTAGGTCGCAGAAAATCTCCAGCCAACACGTCCAAACTTTCCTGCTGGAGACCACAGATTCTGCCCCTGACCAACTTACAGGGCCCTTGAGAGATCACGTGACTGTTCTCAGCCTTGGTGTAATCACGTTCAATTACCTTCCCAGTATAAGACAGAGCTGGAGACTCAGCTCCCAAGAGAAACCAGAGTTTGTAGGAAGAGGCCCTCAACAAACCCCTGATGCAGAGACATGAAGATTTCTACCTGGCAGGTTCCGGAGTAACGGGATTCCCAAAAATACACCCCCCCGATTCTTAAAAAAAAAAAAAGAAAGAAAGCAGCAGGTCCATCCCACACCAACAGTATAGGTAACTCTCCTTGATGTGCCAACTCTTCTCAGTTTAAATTAGTCCCTCCAATGCCATCTTACTAATCTTGCAATTATTTCCAAATTATTCCCAAATAATCTTCCAATTATTTCCATATTGCTATGAATGTCCCATTTGAACTAGCAAGTTGTTTGACCCTTAGTAAAGATTCTGAATTTTTCCAATTTTGTACTCAAATTCCTAGACAGCTGAAAAAATATTTATTTTCTTTTCTCTTAAGTATAGCTAAAACTAAAATAACCAGAAACATTTTATCGCACAAATGCCTCCTAATAATGCAACTATGTAAGTCGCCCAGCTGATTGGTCCACCTAAGTAAAAGACCTGATTCCAAGTCATCCCAGGGGAAAGAAAAATGACTATGAACATGTCTCTCCCAATACTTCAGCAAAGGAGGTGGAAGGCAAGGTTTCCGTAACTGGGTGAGACATATAGGAGCAGGCTCCACATCTCAGTTTCCTTCTAAGTACATTGAGGGAACTGAATTTTGTGGAGTGGAGGGCGATGCACAGCTTGTGGGATCTTAGTTCTCCAACAAGGAATCGAACCCCAGGCCCTTGGCAGTGAGAGCACAGAGTCCTAACCACTGGACCTCCAGGAAATTCTACTCCATGAGGGAACTCAACTTGATGGACTCCATAATCCTGTCTCATTTGACAGTTCGTGACTTTAAAGCCAACAGACTAACAATTTCAGTAAAAACCTAGAGACCAAGGAGGGACTTGAGGAGTAGCTAGGGGAGGACAGGGCAGGTGCCAGCCTACAAGGGCACAGGGGCACAGACATACAGAGAAAGCACCAGGGAACTCCTGACGGGTCCTGTCTGTGACATTTCTTTACAGCATGATGCCTGGGTACAGGGGAAAGGGCGGCCTCAGCTGGAAAGCCAGGGTGTGGGTTTTGGCTGAACTCTCCTTCCAAGCTAAAACAGCCAAGAGTAAAACCTCCTCATAGTGAGTGCCACAGAAGCAGGACTTGGGGCAGAAAGCCAAAAAGCAAAACTGGAGTTCATTGTGAGAGCCTCCTAAAGAAGCATTAGAGAGAGAGAGAGTGTCTGTGTGTCTGTGGTGGGGGCTGCGGGGTGGGGGATTCTCCAGCTAGGAGGGAACATAGCATAGTGAGCCTCTAAGATCTTAATGAAGTCCCAAGCAGTCTTGGACTTCTGTTGAAATAGGCGATTTCAGACTTCCCGGGTCCAGGGTTGGGAATCCGCCTGCCAATGCAGGGGGCACAGATTCAATCCCTGGTCGGGGAAGATTCCACATGTGCTGGGGCAGTTAAGCCCGTGAGCCACAACTACTGAAGCCTGTGCACCCTAGCGCCTGTGCTCTGAACAAGAGAAGCCACTGCAATGAGAAGTCCCAGCTCCACAGCAAAGAGCTCCCGCTAGCCACAGCTAGAGAAAGCACACTCATAGTAACAGGACCAAAAATAAATAAGAATATCATTTTTTTAAAAAAAAGAAAGAAAATGGGTGAATTCTTCTCTCTGCAATGCACTAGTCTTCCTACAGATTCTATCGAGAAATCTAGACATTCTTGCAATCTTCAAATGACAGTTTTCACCCAGGCAATGCAGCCTCCTGTTGTAACATCTTCCAACTTCTTAATCCTTTTCGAGTCGAGGAAGTCAAGCTTTGAAATCCTCCAAGTTGTACCACCTCCCATACTTCCCCTTTTCAAGGCCCTCCTAGGGCTGCACTCAAAGCCCCCTTGAACTCCAGGCTGCTTGGTATAAAGTTCTCAAAGCCCACTCCTCCTGGAGCTGCGGTGGGTAATTAGAGCAAACACCAGTCACCCAGGGCCCCCTCACTGTGCAGACTGCACTGAACCCCCAGCAATCAACTGCCATCACCAGGTGGGACATTCATGCCATGTGCTACATGCTACACGTGCTACATGCTACATGTGCTACATGTGCTGCATCAGCGCCACGGAGCTGCCTGGTTACTCCTCAGCTCCACTTGGTGTGGCTGCTGTTTTCTGACTCCTCATCCTTCGAGCACTATGGTTTTGCAGATTGATTACCAGCATTCAATAATGTTTGCTATTGGCATTTAGACAGATTTTACATAGCAGCTGTCAGCTTCAAAAGTTCTTTTGGGAATCTCAGACTAGACCTTGCCAACCTCTGCTAAGGTGCCGCTAAATTTCAAAAGCGACATTAGAGGGTGGAAATTACACACCACAAAACAAAACCACTGGTGGCAGTTCTATCACCATATTAAATAGCGTTTTTGCATCTTTTCCACTGATAGCAAACCTAGGCCCTATTTTATCTAAGGGAGCAAACATTTTTAATCATGTGGGATTAGGCATTCAGCAACTCACAAAAACACCCGATTTTAGTCTATCAAATATATTTACAGCTTTTTTTTCCTGATAATACAAACAAAAGAAGCAATAGCTCATGTTAAAAGAAAACATTTTTTTTTAAAGAAAAAAACAAAAAAATTATATACATAATACTAGCACCATTATAAGCTTGGTTTATCTCTTTCTAGGACTTTTTCTTCATATGTAAATACAACTACATTTTATTCTAAAACTGAAATATTCTACATTTATAGTTTAGTAACCTTTCTCCTTGCTGGACTCACCAATATTTTTTACCTGCCAATATGGAAAAAAAGTGAGTGACAGATCATAAAATTAGCCATGTTGCTGACATTTCTCCCCCAAAGCCCAAAAACAATAGACTCAGGAAGGAAAAACTTAAGAAAGGAAGGACTGAGAATCAGGATTAAAATGTGGGTGCCTTAATTGTTTTCCTGAAAACATGCATTGATGTGGGCCTGAATCAGTGAACACGTATGGAATTAATAATATCGGGAGGCCAGAAAGTGTTCGCCACGGTCGCTTCTGCTGTGATCGCCACACAGTCGCGTCGTGTGGTGAGGCTGCCGCTGCGTCACAGACAGGCTGAGAGTCGACACTGCATGCCTTTGCACACTTGATGCATGACTGTGAACACATGCTTCATAACACTCAGTTCTCCTGCCTATGTCTGTCGTCCAGGTCCATGTCTGTTGGTCCCTCTCTACAGCATGAAGGGGTGTGAGAAGCTGTAAGAGAAAATGCCAGCGTGCACAGAGACACATTCTACTTATACAAGCCACCAAGGGTAGTTCAGTTTTGGCCAAAGGATCACTATAATGTGCCTGTGACTGGTTGAAATTTTTAGATACTGAAATGTAAAACACAGGAGTAAAACTTAAACATGAAAGGGTGACTGTCAAGGGGAAGCGTGATCATCAGTGAAACATGTAAATGGAGTAAGAAACTTATGATTCCTATCCTTTACTCTTCTCCCTCTGATATTTTTTTATATAGATTTTAAAATAACAAACCCCACCCCAAGCACCTAAAACACAGCCTGCTTATGTATCACACCTACTTTTGGAGGAATGACTTTGCTCCTTAAAAGCAATGTGAGTTTTAGCATAAAAGAAATGTTTCCTGTCTTTCCTGGACCAAGCACAAAATGTCTGTGTATGGAGTACTTTGTACTCTTTCCATCAACAAGAGAACAAACGTTTTTTCTGTTGGAGTAGAAAGTTGCCAAAACATTCTGGCACATACCGTCTCTTCCTCAGTTTGTGCTCCCTTACTCTCCAAAAGGGCTTTAGCAAGTAATACTCAGCCATCTTTTAAAGGATCGCAACATACCATATATATTTATTTTATTTCCCCCAAAGAAGTACAAGCTATGTAAAATGAAGTCCAAACAGCTAAATTTCATGCTGTAATACCACCTTCTTACTTCAGGCTTCATTTCCCCTCTTCCTCAGATGGTATTTGTTTGACTGCCTCATACTGCTAAAACTTATGTAAATTCTCCTCTTGTACTTTTAAAGTCTGCAAAGATGGCCTCAGGTAACTTCTAGAACTTACCATGAATACAAGATGCACACGCACAAGATGGCAGTACCCAGACCAGCAACCAAGGTCTTGTCCCTGTATAGGTCCTGACCAAAGTTAGGCACACAGATGGTGACGTTCTTCCCGTGTTCATCTAGGACTTGTGAACAAAAGAAAAAAGGAATTATTGGCATATTAGAAAAGCCCTCTGTGACTCAGGGATGCATTCACTCTGGGAAAATTCATGCAGTAGAGAACAGTGAACACTCAGCGCTGGAAAGGTTTCCTCTACCATCCAGCTCAACTCAGACTAGATCATGCTCTGTAAAGCACCCTCTTCCACCTAGGCAGCCTCTCCGTGTAAGACCCTTGGGTGTCAGCTTAGTGCTAAAGGGGTCTTTGGTACCAGGGGTTTCTAAGAGTCATGTTCTTTTTCAGTACTATTGGAGCAGTAGTCAAAAGTATTGGCTCATGGGTCTTCCTTCATGGCTCAATGGCAGAGAATCTGCCTGCCAATAGGAGACACAGGTCCAATCCCTGGGTTGGAAAGATCCCCTGGAGAAGGAAATGGCTACCCACTCCAGTATTCTTGCCCGGAGGATTCCATGGGCAGAGGAGCCTGGTGGGCTACAGTCCATGGGGTCACAAAAGGGTCAGATACAACTTAGGGACTAAATGATAACAATAACTTGGCTGACTGGGCAGCAGGTAGCATACAGGTAACTGGGAGCATCCTCCATGTCTATCCTCCTTGGAGAGACATGGAGGCATGTTGAGACTAACCAATAATCAAACAGAACTCGCAGGAACTGCTGTCTGGCCAACAGCCACCACCCAGATAAGAAGTCATTCTATTGTCAGTAACAGGACGGTCATGACATCTTTTAGGCTGTAACCTGGGAAACTTCTCAAGTGGCTAGAATCTTATAAAATTGTAGAGGCTATATAACAAAGATTCCTATCATATTACCACCATTAGTTGTTTACTTTTTATCTAACAGAGTCTTCAATTCTGAATGCCCAAGCTGGCTCTATTTGCTCTGCCCAAAAATGAGGAACATAAATATAAAATAACAGACTACAAACCATTTTACAAATATGCACATTCTAAGGGCTTGAAGTTGCACTAAAATTATTACTTGTACTCCCACTTGAAACTGTAAGCTTAACTGTGTGCTGTGGCTTAAGGAATCTTTATTCTTAGGCCAATGAAAATTTTCTTTACAAACCTGACCAAAATATGAACTTTGCTATTTAAATACTACCACCCAAAATTAAAAATAGAGTTTTTTTCTGTATTTAAGTGACACTGGCCATTGAGAAGAAAAACACTGTAACCAAAAAACCCCATTAAGTTAAAGCCAGAGATTAATATGTAAATAGTCAAAACACTCATAAAAGTTTTAAATAGACTAGATTTAAATAAACTTGAAGTCAAATTTATAGAGCTTTCTTCCTAAAAAAATTACACCCAGGATAGACTATACTTAACAAAAACCTACAATTATATTCACATTGTACTATAAATAGCTATAAAGGCAAGACCCTACATACTACACATATATGCTAAAACTTTCAAAAACATCTTTGCATTTACTTTCTAAATTTAAAAAAGGAAAACATCAATTTTCTACTCTAGAAAAAAGAGTATATGTATTTAACTTGATTTATATAAAATATACCCAGACATACACACATTTATATATATTATGTATATATGAGTATACGTGTATATATACATCTATATATCACAAAAGTGAAAAAAAAATGATGAAATATAAGAAGTTTGGAGATCAAAATAAGAAAATATGGTCCTTTCCTGGGAAAGTTCAAGGGCTCATCCAGTAACAACCTATAATGGTGTTTGATAGTTCTCAAATGTCCACTGCAATTACTCCACAAAAATAATAGGTAACCTTTACATAGCACCTCTGACATGCCAGAAACTGTACGTATACAGATACACACGTACTCAACTGAAGTCTTAAAAACCACCCTATAAAAGAGGAATCTTAATTATCTTCTTAAAATAATAATTAAAATTCTTATTTTAAAGGTGAGATGTCTAGGAAGAGAAAAGTAAGTCACTTTATATAAGTTACTGAAGTGGCAGAACCACTGCCCCACATTCTTTCTCTGTTAGAGTCAGAGAAATGATCACTGAAGTAAATTAATAACCATCTAAAAAACAATAACAATAATAAAAAGAACAAAAGGAAATATCATGAATATATCTGATAATTTCTTGATTATTTGACTATTTCTGAGCAGGAACATGCAGATTAGGCTTACAAGCAATCTCATGAGCCCCCGTGAGTTCATGTCTTTCCTGCCGAGCAGGAAGACTCGGGAGAAGGAAGGTCCAGGTTCATGTCCCATGCTGAGGACACTATTTAGTGAAGAAGTCTAGATCACCTCTCTACTTTGATGGATTGCATCTCTGACACTTAAACGATAGTTCGAGGAGGCACGGTCCTCACCCCACAAATGACAATATTCACCCTGCAAGCTCAGTCTCCCTACAAGGCCAGCTTACCTACTTCTGCAGGTTTGCTCGAGAGGGCTGAGAACGTGAGATACGTGACATAGCAGCTGATGAGACCCGACTGCAGTATCCCAGAGTGTGGCTGTCCTGGAGAACGACAAGGGACCATGTCATAAATCAACGGTGAGAAAGCATGTGCACCCCCACAAAAAAAAGGTCTGCCCCAAACAATATCCCTCAAACTTGGAGCCCCACACGTGAAGGTAAGAAGAGGTACGTAATGTATTTCTCATATAACACTAAAATATTTGGGGGGGAGGGGGTCACACACTGAACCTAAATGCTGTTTCAGAGATGCCAAGTTCTGACGAGTTCTTGCCCAACACCTTATTTTGATAATAACTACAGCTGTACTGAAACATACTGCCTGGTCTCCCTGAGGTTCGTTAACATTAGTTCTTAAATCACAAGGTCTCCAGAAAAAATTTACCACTGTTAATTTGTGAGATCACATAGCTTAGGGGGGTAAATGATGGGTTTTATAGGGAGGACTTGGATTCCAGACTCACAAAGCCATCAGATACTCAGAATCCATGCCCGTAGGGAAGAGTTCTTATCTGTCAATGGACAGAAAACCTTTGGGAATACTAGAATTGGTCCAAGCCAAAGAATGAGGCTATGGGACTCAGCATTTATTGGGAAAAGGCCTTTTATGTTACAATATTTAAATTAAACTGTTCAGATGGCTAAGAGTAACCAAGATGCAATAAAAGAGATTCATCGTTTTTTTTGGTGAAATTTTCAACCATCCACAGACATAAAAAGATTTAGTTTTACCTAGTCTTCCCTCTGATTAAATTTATGTCCAGAATTTTAGTTTTCAAATTATAAGGACCAATAAAGGTAAAAAATAGGCCCTTTTCAATGGTGCTCTTTGGCATGGGGATGAGACTACCTTTAACAATTAATGGCACTAAACCAAATTATAACTATTTCAAAGGGTATAATTTAACCCAAAGAATATTTTGATCAGAATAGTAATAATGTTTTAGGAAATCCTTAACTGATAAAGGAACTGGGTGAGTAATAACAATCTCAATTTCAATAATGAACTTCAGTCATTTCTTTTGGCTTTGAAACAACCATGAGCAAGATCAGGCTCACAGGTTTCTATCGGCTTTGCTGAGGAAGGACTTGGATCTGAGAAAGGTCAGCTCCTGGGGCCAGCGGATGGCTGAGCCAGGACTGGATTTCCTGTTTCCTGATTCTGGGACCATGCTGTACTTTTTGTGGTCCACAGGGGTCTTAAGTCAAAGATAAGCCCTAAAACAGCTCCTTCGGGAGCCTTCTCATTCATTCAAATTTTACAAAAAGATTATAGGGAAGAGTTAAATATCCACTAAAGGCATTTTCCTTTGAAATGCTGCTTGTAGTACATTATTTAACAATTGTAACATCTATCTTTTTCTTCATTGACTTCATTATACTCAAATCTTTGACAGAGGCATGATTGACTATCACCTTCAGCCCAGTGCAGGGAACGAAGAGGACACTGGAATCCCACCTTTCCTATGCTGACCCACCTGTGGTAAAATAAGAACTGACCATAATTTCCAAAATTAGGGTCAAAGACATTTATAATATGAACAAGGAAGTATGGAAGGAAAAAAAACTGCTTACGATCTCGGACAGAAGGTGAGATGGATACCACTGACATAAGCAGACACAGGCCTCCATTTACTCCCAGGAGAATTTTATTTTCCAAGCAGCCATCTTTCTGGGTATAAAACACTGCCATCCAAATCAAACCTCCCGTGGTGATGGAGTACGCGACGAGGGTCACCAGGGACAGAGAGGCGTACCACAGCTTGTTGGTAGCTGTGCCTGCAGTCCTGTTTCTCCAGAAGTAGAGAAGAGGGAGGGGTGCGGGGAAGACAGGTCAGTTGATTCTCCAACAATATCTACCACCCTTCAAGCATTATTAGCTAATGCTGTCAGGTCCCAGACCATCGTAAGGAGATATTCAGAAGACCTATTATTTTATCAGTTTTTGTGGATCACAACAAACTGTGGTAAATTCTTAAGAGATGGGAATACCAGACCACCTGACCTGCCTCCTGAGAAACCTGTATGCAGGTCAAGAAGCAACAGTCAGAACTGGACATGGAACAACAGACTGGTTCCAAATTGGGAAAGGAGTATGAGAAGGCTGTATATTGTTACCCTGCTTGTTTAACTTCTATGTAGGGTACATCATGTGAAAGGCCGGGCTGGATGAATCACAAGCTGGAATCAAGACTGCCAGGAGAATTATCAACAACCTCAAATATGCAGATGATACCACTCTAATGGCAGAAAACAAAGAGGAACTAAATAGACTCTTCATCAGGAGAGAGTGGAAAAGCTGGCCTGAAACTCAACATTCAAGAAACTAAGACCATGGTACCCTATGCCATCACTTCACGGCAAACAGAAGGGGAAAAAGTGGAAGCAGTGAGAGATTTTATCTTCTTGGGCTCCAAAATCACTGTGGATGGCGACTGCAGCCATGAAATTAAAAGATGCTTGCTCCTTGGAAGGAAAGCAATGACAAACCTAGACAGCATATGCAAAAGCAGAGACATTTCTTTGCCAACAAAGGTCCATCTAGTCAAAGCTATGGTTTTTCCAATAGTCATGTATGGATGTGAGAGTTAGACCATAAAGAAGGTTGAGTGCTGAAGAATTGATGCTTGTGAATTATGGTGCTAGGGAGGACTCTTGAGAGTTCTTTGGACCACAAGGAAATCAAACCAGTGAATTCTGAAGGCAATCAACCCTGAACAGTCAATGGAAGGACTGAAGCTGAAGCCCAAACACTTTGGCCATGTGATTCAAAGGGCCTACTCATTGGAAAAGACTGTGATGCTGGGAAAGACTGAGGGCAGGAGAAAGGGGCAGCAGAGGATGAGATGGTGAGACAGAATCATCAGCTCAATGCACATGAATGTGAGCAAACTTCAGGAGATAGTGAAGGACAAAGGAGCCTAAGGTGCTGCAGTCTACAGGGTCACAAAGAGTTGGACGTGACTTAGTGTATGAACAACAGCAAACAATTGTTTTACCAACTAAAAACTAGAAGGTACAGCTGAATATGCAAAAAATTCTTGGCTCAAGCATAGAATTTTTTCTTAACCCTGAAAAACTTCAGTCTTGACTCAAGTGTATTCAGTAACTAAAATGAATATTCACCGACTTTAGCTTCCCCATTCTGGATGCCAACTACCCCAGGACAAGTTCTGGCAGTATTATAAAGTGGGCTGTGTGCTGGAGTTCTCTCCGAGTTTTCCCAGAAATACAGAGCCCGGAGGTGCCAGTCTCTTTCTCCAAGTGCTGCCAGCAGCTCCTGCTGATGCCCATCTTCTCTTTAGGGAGAGAGAAGTAATTGAACTTCACCCAGAGAAAGACTGGCTGACCTCATCTCTTTTGTCCTTGCACTGAAAAGAAGACTCTATACCAGTACTGCTTCTCCCAAACAATGCCAGATATGACTAAGGAAGAGCTTGACATTAAAGCAAAGTGAAGGCAGGAATTCCCTGGTGGTCTAGTGGTTAGGTCTCAGTGTTCTCACTGCCAGGGGCCTCGGTTTGATTCCTGGTTGAAGAACTAAGAACCCACATACCTTGGAGCACAGCCACCTCCTCCAAAAAAAAAAAGTGAAGAATAAAATTAGCAGAAAAAAGAGGAAAAATTTTTAATGGGATTTATAATAAAGAATCTAGAAGAGGAGACTGGTGTAAAGATTATATTATTTTGTATAAACATTATTAAAGGGATGGGAGAAGTATGTGGTGGCTTAACAACCTATAGAGCTTGTTCAGAACAAAGAAGAGGCTTGGTGATGCTAAAAGAAGAGGACAGGACTACAGCAGGGGGTCGTCCGAATCACCTCATCTGCCTTAGGGGTCAACTGCCCTTTGTAACCACATCTCACAAAACTTCGAGAGCAGGCAACTTGCTTCATGTCTTCACAGAGTTGGGAAGTGTTCAAGGAGCCCAGCTGAAATGTTTGAATGATGGAGAAGTTACTGCGGCCAGAGACAAAGGAAACAAAGAGGAAAGGCCAAAATGATAATGACCATCATACTCCTGAAACCAAGCCAGGCAGTCTGATGACTGTGGAGTTATTGTAATAGAGAAGGCACACAAATCACATGAAGATAAAGTGAGACTTAGAGAAAGGAAAGAGTCAAATGCTACCTGTTGACAGGGAGAGAAAATGGATTATGAAGAAAAAGGTGAACACTGCTGACCAGTGTGTAAGTGGGGGATCCAGCTGTGTCCCCACCAGTCTTTTGGGCTATTTTATTAGTGTAAGAAGGACTTTCTTAACAGCTAATTTTGCTTGGATCCCCAAGGTTAAATCTTCAACCCTAACCTCTCCCCTCTACTCCAGGCTCTTATTATCCCTGTTAATGTCTCCACTTGGAGGTCTAACTGGCTTGTGGATCTTAGGAGGTCCAGGTTAATTTGCCAGTATCCAAACCTCCATCCCCAAACCTGCTCTCCTGTGATCTTCCCAATCTCAGAATATGGCAATTCCATTGGGGGTGGGGGTAGATAAAGAACTGCAGGTGCTCTTGGCCACTGTCTTTCACTCCCTGCTCCTCCCCTCTCCCCAACATCATGCCAACTCCAGCAGCAAACTCCCTTGGTTCCCACTTCAGACTCTATCAGCATCTGACTGCTGCTACCATCTAGCACCAAGCTACGTCATCCCTCCCCTGGATCACCTCCCACTAGTCTCCTTACTTCCACCTATGACCTCCTCTCATCTTTTCTTAACTTAAAATGTGCATTAGATTCTGTACCTCTAGTGCCCTGCCATCTGCCATGATGACCCCAGAAACCTTTCACGATCTGGTACAGGGCCATCTCTGATGAATGACTTTCTCTCTTGCGCCTTCCCCTCACGCCACTGGGGTCCAGCCACAGTGGATGTCTCCTCGCTCCTTAGACAAGCCAGCGCAGCCCTGCCCCAGGCTCTTCCCAACTTCCTTCGTCTCCCTCATACCTTATAAGGAAACCCTTTCCCGGCCCTGCTCGCCCCAACTCTCACACTCACAGCACACTCTCCACCATTGAACCTATTACTTATTTGCTTGATTAGACTTATTAGCTACCCCGTCTCCTCTCCAGGAGAATATACACTCCACAGAGCAGGGCACAGTTGCATTCACTGCCTACTGTCAAGTGCCTGGCAAGCAACAGGTGCTTAAAGAATATCGGTGCCAGGACTGCCAAGTGTCAGAGGACAGCTTGATGCAGCAATGACGACTGAGCGGTTGCTCCCTGTTGCTCCAGCCCCTGCTGGTCCTCCCGAGACAACTTCTGTAGACACGCCAAATGATGCCATGACTGTACTCTTGGTGCCTGGCACAGAGTTAGCACTCCAAAAATTTTGAATCAATGGTCAATGCGAGCACTCAGGTGAAGATTAGAAAAGGACCAAATGGTAGGATGAAGTGCATAGGTACAGAAGCAAGAAGGTTATCAGGTTAGAAGAGGTGGCTGGGCTCAGGCGTGGGATGAGCACTACGGGAAAACAAAAGCCAACAACAACGTGAATTTTTAAATCTAGAAAGTCTAGAAAATGGGTCTTCATTAGAAACACCTGACTGTACCATCTGTTTTTTGTGATTTCAGTTTTGATATAGAACTGACACTTCAAACCACAAAAATTGGCCTAGAAAGTGTTAAAAACAAGATGAAAGACTTAAAATGAAGTCACTAATGCTAAGCCTCATATCGCCAAACCAATGCCACAGAGTATCAGCTCTCCCAGAAACAGAATCTTAAACCAGCCAATCAGAAATCTCCTATTCAGCACTAATTAGACAGTCTAGTTAACTAGTTAGGTAGTCTGACTGGTAGGACCTGCCATCCCCTATAGGAAAGTTACCTCATAATAACTAAACTGCTTTTCTGCTTAATGTAACTTCCTTGTCTCTGCTCCCTTTTGCCTATAAAAGTTCTTTTATTTTGTACAACTCCTCAGAGCTCCTTTCTACTTGCTAGATTGGAGAGTGCTAAATTTGAATCAATTTTCACACAAACATTGTTAAATGTCCTAGCTTATCTTTTAACAAAAGAACAAAACTTATCACTTTACAGGTATAAAAACTGAGGTCAGACCAGTCAAGTCATATGCCTTAAAATTCAAAGATGGTAAAGAATCCACCTGCAATGCAGGAGACCCAGGTCCAATCCCTGGGTCAGGAAGCTCCCCTGGAAAAGGGAATGGCAACCCACTCCAGTATTCTTGCCTGGAGAATCCCATGGACAGAGGAGCCTGGTGGGCTATAGTCCACGTGATCACAAAGAGTCAGACACAATTGAGCAACTGAACACACACACATGCCTCAAGTAAAACAGCCAGACAGTCAGGGCCATTAAAATCTGCTGCCTGGTATCCAGGCCCATGGCCTTTTCTCTTCTACCGCCTTTGAGATTATCTCTTTCCCAAGATCTTTACAAAAGGAGAAAAAAGAAAAGGGAAGAAAAACTTTGGTTGTTCCATCCATGAAGAGAGATACAAGTATTATATTTTCTAGACTAACCTTGAAAGCAAGAATCTCCATTAAAAAAAAAACTGCTAAATTAAATGAATTTACATAAAAATAACAATATTTGTACATTTCCTAGCTCAATCTTAATTTTAGGCAGATCAAGAAACCACAAGCATGTGGACAAAAGGGATTTTGTTGGGATACTGGCCCCACAGCCAGTACACCAGCAACATCAATTGCTGCAAAGCTCTCAAGCCATTCCTATTAGGTGGCTTCCGGAAAGTTTTTAAAGTGATCAAACTCTTCCAAAATGCCTGTTAAAACTTGGCATCGATAATCAGTCCTAGAAAATGGCTTCAGAATCAATCAAAACATTAAAAGTCAGAATAAAGCAGCACAAGCATTCTTGAGAGAACATACTATTTAATGGGCAAATCAGGCCCTCAGAATCAAAGATATTAATATTTTACTACCAAGTTCCTAACTCGAAATTTGTGAAAATCTTAGAAAAAATTGAGGGTGACATATTACATTTTGTCTTACAAAAAATTCAGAGTGAAAGTATATTAAGAATTAATGGGAAGTGTGATATTTCATCAACTAAAATGCATTTCTGACTTACTGTGCACCTTTCTTCTGTACAACTGAGAAAACAGGGTCACATGAAACTATAGTCACCCATTAGACTTATCTTCAGGAAAACTTTGCAGCCTCAAAACAAGATCTAGTAGAAACCACAAACATACTAGGTATCCGGGATGACTCAAAATGTGGGACAGCATGCAATAATAAACTTATATTTTGGACTTCCCTGGTGGTACAGTGGATAAGAATCTGCCAGTGCAGGGGACACGGGTTCAATCCCTGGTCTGGGAAGATTCCACATGCCGCAGAACAACTAAAGCCCGTGCACCACACTACTGAGCGTGTGCTCCCTAGAGCCTGAGCTCCGCAACGAGAGAAGCCCAGGCACCACAATGAAGAGCAGCCCCTGCTCTCCGCAACTAGAGAAAAGCCTGAGCAGCAGGGAAGACCCAGCACAAGCAAAAATGAATACACTGAAAAGAAAATTCACATATGAGCACAATTCAGACCTAGAAATCTGCATTTTCATAGTTGATTAAGACTTGGAAAATATCAAAATACGACTGTAGTACTACTTGGAAGACGATCTGATGTGCTATAAACATTTTTAACATTGGCATTTGGGTGCATACTCTAGTATTTACCAAATAATAAAATGACTAACAGTATCTTTTCATTCATGCATCTCATGATTTGATCTTTAAAAAACAAAACAAACCCCAAACAGAACAACTACCAAGCTGCAGAAAATAATCCGAATGAAAAGTGTTTGGAGAGAATGTGGACAGTATTTATTCTATGTTATCCAAAATTAAAAAAATAAATTCACATGCATATAGAACTTTCAGATTTCCCCTACCCCAAAAGAGTATAAAATAACATGATGCCTACAAAATCTACAAAATAACAAGAGCCTTACTAGATACAGCAGGCAGTTATTTTCACTCATATTTTATAAAGTCAGACAGAACAGTTAAATCAGATAGAACTTTGCCCTGAGTAACAGAGTCAACTTGGCCTTAGCACTGAAGAAGCCAGACCCTTGTCTAGTCATTTCCTCAATGTAGCTCAGCAAGGATTAAAAGGAGCCACTAATAGTTTGGCATTTGCCACACATCTTGGGATGTGAATCCTATTTTTAAGGCACTTAGAGTCTAATTTTTAAAAGTCAGGATGGCTTTCTAAGTGAGCACAACAAAAAATCCTATGAAGGGGCCCTTCCTCTCTTAGGCAGTTGAGAAGCAACAAAATTATTTTTAAAGAGGAAAGAACTAGTCCATCAAATAGTCTCTGCTGAAAGTGAACTTTCCACTCCAAACTACTTTTTTCTTTTTAATCTGCCAAGGATGGGGGCCTAAGATAAAGCTCTCTCAATGTTTTTAGCCAGTGACACAGCACAGAGCTGGGCTGTGAGGCGTCAGCAGGGGGGTTGCCCATGGCTAAGTCTCAGAGTCCAAACGAGAGGGTGTGGGGAAAAAGGGAGAAAGAAGTAAAAAGAACTGACGTGGGAAAAAGAAAGGTAGGAATGAGAGAAAATCAGTATGGGAGAGGAGTAAAGCAAGAGGTTCAAAAAGCAGAGGGAAGGGAGAGAACCTGCAAAAATCAGTTTTGGTGTAAGCAGGCTGCTAAGCCCTGGCAATCCCACTCAGGGGAGGGCCTCTGTCGACACTGGGCACTTTCTCCGAGCTAGAGAGTGCGTTCACGTGGAAGCTTTCCGCAAAGGCACATACCAGTTCTTGTTCCATTTATGTGCAAACTCCACAAGCAAGAGGAGCTGGATGACTATGAAGAGGAAGCCTCCAACAGCTCCCACGTAGCGCCAGGCTGCAAAAGAAGACCGTTTGAAAGATGAGATGACGGTCCCAAGTGTCTAACTCAAAAAAGTAATGACTGTGGTTAATTCTTACCTCAGACTCCCTGTACTGCTAACACACTGAATTCCCATACAATTGTACAAGATGGGTACTACTATTATACCCACTTTACAGATGAGAAAAATAGAGTCTACATAAGCTGACCAGGTCCTGCAGCCCATAAAGGATGTGGCTGGGATGTGAGCACAGGCAGTCTGGCACCACAGCATCCTAGCTTCACCTCCATGCTATAAATAAATGCCAGATACCCTAACAGGTGTAGTTAATTCATAAAAGCAACAACAACCCCCCCCCCCCATTTAAAAGTAAAATCACATATTGCCAGAAAAAGCAAGGATTTGAATTTTACTGGGGAGAGACCCATCAAGGTTCAGTGAAGAAATGAGGTTCAAACTAGGGTTCTACTTCCAGCTCAGCCACAAAGCAGCTCAAACCTTGGATGAGCACCTCACATCTCTGGTTATCTATAAACCAACTGAGCTGAGCTAGTGGACTAACTGCTAGGTCCCATCCATTCTAAGTATATTATTCTAATATACACAAGGACCTCTGTGGGGACTAGAAAACTAGTTACCAGTATTTTAGGTAAAAAGACAACTTGGATACAACTTCCTTAAGGAATGCATAAAAGCAGTGTGACTCTAAGAAACTCGCTGGACCTGGCATGTGGCTATTTGAGGACCTATGGCTGTTCCTCATTCATAATGTGAATACTTATCACTATCTTAATTAGGAAAGTGAATCCACTGGGTTTGAACAGTTCTTTGAACCTCTGAAATGCAGGCTTTATTTTTCCCCTCCCTAGCTGAAATAAAGAAGGGCCCCTTGTTTCACTTATGATTGAATGCTTCATATTAAGTATTTCTGGTAGATTCCGTCAGTAAGGACATACAACTGAATTGAATGTAATTGACTGAATAGCATTCAGTGTTACACAGTTTCACACGAGTCAGGTTTAGACATAGCCTAGAGGACCCCACTGGCTTAGACGCAGCTATATCTTAGACACAGCCTTTCTATAGCCCACTATCGCTGCAGCAGATTTAAAGCTGCTAACAAACCCTGGGTTTGTGGGCAAGGAAGAAAGAACAGGGTCTCCCTGCTCACGCTGCTGACTTGCTAAACTAGTTTTCAAACAAGTTTTCCAAGTGCCTCATTTTCCCTTCAGGCCAATAACCTTAACTTCACTTCTTCAGCCAGTAGAGTAACTAGAGGTTCTGTCACCCATCCGGGGAGGTGGGGGTGGGGTGGGGGGTTGTTGAGGGGGAGACAGGAAGTAGAGAGGATGAATGAGGTGTGGGCAGGTGAGGCAGGGTTTTTTTTTAAGCTACAAGAAAGTTAGTAACCTAAAATGTCAAAGGCACCCTGGACTATGCTTTGGAACAATTTTACAAAGTGGGTAAAAACACAATAAATAGATACCCCCAACCCTCCATTCCTACCATTCAGAAAGGTCTCCTGATCTGGAATGAAGAAGGCTCCTGAGCACATGGCTCCCAACAGCAGAAGTTTAAAGAACCAAAAGCTGGAGGGGAAAAAAGAAAAAAAACACAGAGGAAATGTATTCAAATGATATTCAAGGAAGGACAAAAGCCCTCTTAGTCTTAGAAGGTAAGTGTGTCGATCGGTGATTCTGTTCACTTCAAATGGAGGGGAAGAAATTAAGTGACTGGGGACTGCCTCCTCCCATAATTAGACAGACTCAATGTTTGGCCTCTGATTGTGCAAAACATTTTGTTGCAGGGTGGAAATGACCTGGGGGAAGGTCTTGGTACAGGAAATAAGCTCTTATCTCCACTGCGTTGCTCATTGTGGCATTAGGTGTTACAAATAGGAATTCAGTTCTTAGTCCACTGTGTGGTGAAAAGTGTAATTTTCTCAAATCACTGTCAACAACTTCAACTAGAGGAAAGCAGTCAGAGGGTGTGACGAGTAGAGATGCCCTGGAATGCTGCTCTGAGTTCAGGGAAAGGAGAGCGATCCCCACGAAGACTCACCCGTTGTGAATGTAGGCTCTGCAGCTTTTACTGTTGTTGACGTTCAAGGTCAGGAGGCAGAATAGGAAGAAGAAACAGGCCATTCCAAAACAGACTCTGTACACTGCAGAATACCCCACCAGCTTCTCACAGGTGTCACCAGCTTTAATGCCTTTACAGATATCTTCAAAATAAGGGATCTGAAGCAAAAGAGAAAACGTCTTTGTTAAAACCACGTAAGGAAGAGTTGGTGCGGTTCTTTCAGCCTGCAAGTCAAAATTCAATGTGAAATTAATTACCGAGAGAAATTAAGACTGAGAAGAAAGTCTCTCTTCCAAAGACCTTTTCCTTCATTTTCTCTGAATCCTTTTTAGAGATATAGCGCTCACAATGTACCACTCAGCCTTCACTTACCCCTAATGAATTCTGAAATCCAGCATCAGAATTTTAAAAAATTATACTTATAATACACAGGTATTTTTTCTTAAAATGTGTAAATATAGAGATTAAGTGCACATATGCCATTATTTACACAGGATAAGCTCCTAACCTAGAAATGAAATCAGTGGGTCAGGCAGTAGCTACATTTTAAAATTTCAAGCAATAAAGTTAAATCACTCTTTCAAAGGCTGTGTTTACATCCCAGTAGCAATACTTGAGACTGCTCACATTCCCAGCCTGAGCACCACATTTAAGGGCTAAAAACCACTATCTTGTTTCAATATCCATAGACCTCATTACTAGTAAAGTTCACATCTTTTTTTTAAATTTAATATATTTCACTTCAAATGGAGGGGAAGAAATTAAGTGACTGGGGACTGCCTCCTCCCATAATTAGACAGACTCAATGTTTGGCCTCTGATTGTGCAAAACATTTTGTTGCAGGGTGGAAATGACCTGGGGGAAGGTCTTGGTACAGGAAATAAGCTCTTATCTCCACTGCGTTGCTCATTGTGGCATTAGGTGTTACAAATAGGAATTCAGTTCTTAGTCCACTGTGTGGTGAAAAGTGTAATTTTCTCAAATCACTGTCAACAACTTCAACTAGAGGAAAGCAGTCAGAGGGTGTGACGAGTAGAGATGCCCTGGAATGCTGCTCTGAGTTCAGGGAAAGGAGAGCGATCCCCACGAAGACTCACCCGTTGTGAATGTAGGCTCTGCAGCTTTTACTGTTGTTGACGTTCAAGGTCAGGAGGCAGAATAGGAAGAAGAAACAGGCCATTCCAAAACAGACTCTGTACACTGCAGAATACCCCACCAGCTTCTCACAGGTGTCACCAGCTTTAATGCCTTTACAGATATCTTCAAAATAAGGGATCTGAAGCAAAAGAGAAAACGTCTTTGTTAAAACCACGTAAGGAAGAGTTGGTGCGGTTCTTTCAGCCTGCAAGTCAAAATTCAATGTGAAATTAATTACCGAGAGAAATTAAGACTGAGAAGAAAGTCTCTCTTCCAAAGACCTTTTCCTTCATTTTCTCTGAATCCTTTTTAGAGATATAGCGCTCACAATGTACCACTCAGCCTTCACTTACCCCTAATGAATTCTGAAATCCAGCATCAGAATTTTAAAAAATTATACTTATAATACACAGGTATTTTTTCTTAAAATGTGTAAATATAGAGATTAAGTGCACATATGCCATTATTTACACAGGATAAGCTCCTAACCTAGAAATGAAATCAGTGGGTCAGGCAGTAGCTACATTTTAAAATTTCAAGCAATAAAGTTAAATCACTCTTTCAAAGGCTGTGTTTATATCCCAGTAGCAATACTTGAGACTGCTCACATTCCCAGCCTGAGCACCACATTTAAGGGCTAAAAACCACTATCTTGTTTCAATATCCATAGACCTCATTACTAGTAAAGTTCACATCTTTTTTTTAAATTTAATATATTGTTCTATGAATTGGTGGTTAATAGGATTTTTTTCTTGATCCACTGGAGTTCTTTATTTATGGGCCTTAATCTGATAAATGTCAACAATGGTTTAGTCCAGTATAATTAGAAGGTTTTATATAAAACCCACTTACATTATCAGAATAATTAAAAACTTACATTATGAGAACAAGCAGCATATTTCTATTAATGTCAGAAAATAAAGATTTAGTGTTAAAAAAAAAAAAGAGAAACTTGCTTCTTACCAACATGAAAGCTGAACACTCTTCAGAACAGAAAATAATTTGAAAAATCACATTATAGCCTTTACTCACAAAACAAAAACTAAAACCAGGGGAAAATAGGACAAAACACTAAAGGTAAAACTGAAGCATGATAATTTCATTTCTTCTACAGAAAAGATCCTAAAGAAACAGTAACAATGAGGTTATTAAAATATCTATCCGAGACCTAAGGTCCCAAAAGTCACCTGGTGCAGCCAAAAAAATAAAAATTCAATAAGTTTTAAAATAAAAGATTTCCATAAATGGAAGGAAGACTAAATGTAATTGAAGTTCATCTTCCTTCCTGTGTATTCTCTCCCTCAGAAAAGATCTGCAATCATTACTATTAAATATGATTTTTTAAAAAAAAAATTAGTGTCTTAGGCAAAAATGCATTGTTACTGAGATCCTATTATAATAGTTTCACTTTCATGCATCGCTATAAAAGATTTCATAAAGAAATACCAAACATTTTGTGGTCAGCAAGTTCCTGTAACTCCAATGTTTTTAGATCACAGCAAGATATAAATCCACAAAGAGAGACATCACTATTATTTTTGACTAAGCCAGGTAAAATATTAAGCCAGATAAAACACAGATTGTCTAGTTAAATTTAAATGTTGTATAAATAACAACTAATTTTTAATATAACAATATTTGGGGATATACTTAGACTAAATATTGCATGGGGGGCATACTTATACTAAAAAAGTATTCCTTGGCAAGAGATAAAGCTCAAAAGAAGGCATGATCTTGGTGGGAAGGGCCAGGTATATGCCATGCCAAGAAGACTGGCTCCCATACTGTAAGGAAGGGGAAACAGCTATTTAAACTGGAATGCCTTTGGCTGCAAAGTGAAGAACATGTGACAAAAGGGACGAGTTTGAGGCAGAAGGATTAGAAAGCCACTGAGCTAACAGTCCAGATAACAGCAAAGAAGGTAAACTAGTAGCAGAAAAAATACAAAGTCTATGGGTAGAAGTCATAGTTGGCAGGACTGAAAGATGGGGGAGGGTTCTCTTCTGCCTTTTTAAAGTATTTAGGGTAGAGAGGGAATAGGGTTAAAGGAAAAAAGGAAAGGAAAGTCGCTCAGTTGTGTCTGACTCTTTGTGACCCCATGGACTGCAGCCTCCCAGGCGCCTCCGTCCATGGGATTTTCCAGGCAAGAGTACTGGAGTGGGGTGCCATTCCCTTCTCCAGGGGATCTTCCCGACTCAGGGATTGAACCCGGGTCTCCCACATTGCAGGCGGACACTTTACCCTCTAAGCCACCAGGGAAGCCCTAGGAACTGAAAAGAGCTCTGGGAGTTTGTTTTTAACATACAGGGTTGGAAGCACCCTGGAGCATTCCAGTGAGAAGGTGGGTCTGTAAACGGCTTGAAAACAGTGATTAAGATGCAAGATGCACCCCAACCAGGTCATGAGAGACCTTAGCAAGGGCTTTCTGAAGGAGTCCGAATTTTCAGCTGTTTCACAGTGAGTGAGCAAATTCACATGGTTAAAATCTTCATCTGTTGAAGTCATGGGGGACCCCATACAAGTGAATGTTTCAGAGCCTATAGCAGGAAACAAAAGCTGCACCCTATGAGTGGTACTGGGAATAAGGAGGTAATGTTGCTTTAAATCTGTGAAAGGAGGCACCATGCCTCCACCTTATTTGTTTTATTCATATGGGATTTACTGCTCTATAATATCCATTCAACTCTTCCCCCACCTTCTCTGTTCTCTCTGTCAGCAAAGCTAATCCTTTTTGCACAGCGCCTCCACACTCCTGCCATAACACATGCCTGTCAGCGCTCCTTTAACCTACCCAGTCCATCTTTCCCAGGCAGGCTCTTCTCCACCTCCCTACCCACACCCAATTCTCTCTTCTCAGATCAGTTCAAGAATGCTCCTGCCAGCAGACATGAGCACCTACCCTGTCATCCCCCGCAAACTCCCCTCCCCCAAACCCTTACTTACCGCCAGAGGCCCTTAGGCTCATCAAAGGGTGTGAGCACGTGGCACTGCATATCTCATCCACAATAAAAGTAGGCAAACAATCCCCTGCTCTGAATACTAAGACCTGCCTTATGCTCTGTGGGTGACTCAAGTTGTCTAGCCTTCAGCATGTGGTGAATATTTTTAGGTAAAGAACCTCCGAGTAGAACAGGCTGGCAGGATTTAGTAACGGGAATTTGCCCTGATTAAATATTTGCTGTTCTGAGCTCCATCCCAGTTTTAGAAAAAGAAAACATAGATCACACACAGATTCCACACTGTGGGATGGAGGGGGCGGGCCTGCTAAGGATGTTGCCTCTTATGTCTGACTCTGGGCATCCAGGGACATTGCATCTGTAGTTGGTTCTGTACAGACCCAAGGGCAAGGAGTATCCTCCCAACCACTGAGCAACCAAGCTCAAACTCACAAGTATCAGTGAGAATAAAGAGCTCATGTGGACTTCCAACCCTAACTCCACTAATAACTTTGGGAAATTACTCACCCTAGTTGAGCCTCAGTTTCCCTATCTGTACAATGAAATAATACTGCCTTCCACGTCGTGAAGCTGCTCTGAGAATGAAATCAGTGAATCCTTGTAAACAGGGCTCATTTACAAGAATCCTTGTAAACAGTTCTTGATCCATAGCAGCCATTAAGCAAACGTACTTAATTCTAAGTCATCATCTATTTTATAATAATGGGGAGGGAGTCAGGCGCACTACCTGGACCCCTGACTGGCTGATGCATTCTGATTTAAACAAGAGGGGAGATAAACATCTTAGAACTCAGTAGACGCGCTATTCACTTTACCAAAGTTTTAATAGTGAAAGATACAGTTGAACTTCTGTATAACTGCCAGTTCTGCATCTATGGATTTAACTAACCACAAAAAGAAATAAAAAAAAATTTTTTTTTTCCCCGGAAGTTTTCAAACCCCAAAGTTTGATTTTGCCTTTTTTTTGGACTTTTTTCCTTGTTTTTGGCCCTTTTAGTTATTTTGGCATTGTTTTAAGTTTTTTAAGAGGATGTGCCTAAGTTATATGCATGTCCATTTTATATAAGGGACTTGAGCATCGGTGGATTTTGATATCCAAGAGGGTCCTGGGACCAACCCCCAAAGGATACCAAGGAACAACCGTACTGGCAACTTTCAATAAGGTGAACCTTTCCCTAGCACATCTATATAGGCATAAGTCAGAGATACTGCGGGTTCGGTTCCAGACCACCGCAACAAAGCAAACAGCACAGTAAAGCAAGCCACATGAATTTTTTGGTTTCCCAGGGCACATAAAAGTTAAGTTTACACTATACTGCAGTCTATCAAGTGTGCAATAGCATTATGTGTTTTTTTTTAAAGCAGTGCTTAAAAATTTGATAATATAAGATTTAAAAATATTTTATTGCTAAAGAATACCAATCATCTAAGCCTTTGGTGAGTCATGGCAATGACATCAAAGATCACTGAACATGTAACAACAGTAATGAAAAAGTTTGAAATATCACAAAAATTACCCAAGTGTGACACAGAGCGAGCAAATGCCATTCAGAAAGTGGCACGGTGATTCACTTGCTCGAGGCAGGGTTCCCGCAAACCTTCAGTTTGTAAATAACGCAGCGTCCGTGAAACGCAATATAGTAAAGCGCAATAAGACAAGGTATTCCTGTGCAAGAACTGAGCTCTAAAAAACAGGACTCACTACTTGCCTTTCAGAGACCTAGTCACACTCGAAAAATACATATATCTGAACTTCCAAATCAGGGAAGACATTTCAAAACATCAATACAAGTATTAAGGCTAGAGATGTTAGCTAGAAAATCCCCATGGCTTGTCTACTGAGCGGAGATGCTGGCTATGCCCTTAAAACAATTTCAGTCTCAGGCAAATAAATGTGAAGAAATAATGGCAGGGTTAGAAAGGCCTATAGGTCTAGTTGGCCAGGGACCCACATGATGCAAACTTAGAAATAAAGAATAGAATTTGGGAGTGGTTCTTACAGAAATGAAGAGGAAAAGGAGCATCATGTCCCCATAACATTATTTTAGAGAGATGAGTAAACGGCACATTAGCAAAGCTAATGAGTCTTACCTTCCATTATATCAAATTTTTAGGACATTGAATGAAACCAAGCTGCAAAGAAAGCTTTGGGAGAGCTGAGCAGGAGTGATATCACAAAATC